TTGTGTAAGGAATATCCTTTGTCTGCAAAGAGCAGAATGCAAAAATCAGCAAAGTAAGCAAATCAGTCCATTTCAGGCAGAGCACCATATAAAAAAGTCCTAGTCTGGTTTCACTGATCTGTCATCTCCACGTGGTCCTGCGCTGCACTGGAAATATTAACTTGTCCCAGGTAGGAAATGTCTCTCTACCCATCAGAGGGTTCTCACAGGAATGAAAGTTCTGTCTCACAGCAACATCTCTACAAAATTAGTTTACTTCTTACACAAATTCACTTTATATACTATTTACAAAGAAAAAAATAATTTTATCACAATGTTTCGTGGTTTTGGAAAAAATAATCTTCATATGTTGAATATGCATGGCTCTTTAATTGCAGATTAACGAATGGTCCATACCCATCTAAGCTCCTATAAAACTCCTATAAAACTCCTCACAGATTCACTGTTATCAGAAGAGCAAGTATCCTTGAGAAAACAAACAAGGCAAGAATGTGTGGGTGGCTGCGGGAATAAGAAGAAGAAATAGACCAGCATGGTGGGAAGCTTATGCATGTATCAGCATTAATTAATGCAGCATCAGAGGTCATCTGTAATGCCATTGTCAGGGTTTGTGTTCAGCACAATTGCCATGCTATGCTAAGCACAGCCAGAGTAATCTCATTCCACAAAATAAGGTACGTGGAAAAATAGAGGAGCGCAGATTTCTAAAGCAGATTTGTTTTCTGCCTGCCTTCAATTTTACATCTGCTTGTTTTGATGACGTTACCTGGAAACAAACCAACAGAAGAAATTAAAGCCATGTATTCATGCTGCAGAATCAGACATGCTTCATCGTCATTAACAAGAGGTCTTTTTCTTCTGTTTGCCAAGGCATAATCCTCACACTTGCCAGTAATGTTTAAACCATTTAGAGATTTTGCTTAATTTGTGGACCGAAATGAAGTACAGAAGTCCACAGTATACACGCTATTCACACTTAAAATGTTTACCCAGTGCTTTCAAGGACATTTTTCTCTGTTCTGATTTAGATCTGAACTTATTTGTGTAAACCAGAGTAAGCTTTTTTTTTTCTTTTTAGTTGTCATCTTCTATTTTCTTTTACATAAATATTTTTGTTCTACTGGAGGCATTTACTGTTGGAATAGCCAAGAGTCCCCTTAAGCTTGGTCTAGGAGTGAAATCTAGAATACTGTTTGCTTTGTGGTAAAAGCTGATACGTTGTGTTTCAGATATCATTATGTTTGGGAATTGTAAAGAAAACTTTGAAGGCAGCTTTATCATATGTCATTTTCAACTCTATTAGTGGGGGTTCATATGAAAAATAAAATCTTTGAAATTAAAAATGCATCTTTTAACAGTTTAGGTACTGGTGTTGACTTTTGCCATCCTTTGGAGAAACCATTCAGAGATATGTAGCTTATTAGTTCATCTTTGCCTTTGTCTCATTTTTGTGGACAGTGAAGTGGGTGTACTGAGCATTGGTTTATGTAAGAGTAAGAGGAGCATCATTAGTGCGTCATTTGTTTTGTATCAGTCGTCAGTGTAGGATTAAAAAAAATACAGCTTGAAATAGTATTTTGCTATTTAATGACATAAGTAACAGCTGTAAGTGACATAAATTTTCCTCTAGAATCTATAATATGAACCTATGCTATTTTTTGTTTACTTTCTTGCACCAGTTTGCCTGTCATATTCCAGTATGTTAGCAATAACTGATAAAAATGATTGCCTGTTGATGACTGACATTCATCAGGCTGAATGGCATAAGGTCACTGTAGTGATAGTGTTGCTGTCTTGGAGACTTCAGCTTCCTGGCTTGTCATAATTTTTGTTAAATGAACTGTGGATTTAATAAAAATAGAGATACAACTGTAGTAAAATATAATACAACTTGTACCTATCTTGAAAAAATACGCACCACTTTTTTTTTTAAAAAAAGTATTTAACAGATTTTTTGCTATTTAATGGATAAAGAATCTCAAAATGCAGCATCGTATTTTCTCCATTGTTAGTAGTTAATGGCATATCCTAGCCTATAAGAACTAAAAGGAATAATTGCTACTTTAACCTGCAGAAAAGCATTTTTATCTCCCAAATTGGAGATCTTGTGCAGCAGCTAGTGTGGCAACAGAGCCTGTTGACAGAGAAACGTGTTTGATAGAACCAAAGGTAGGTAATTCAACTGCAAGTTTTCAGGCAAAGTAAATGCCTTGGAAATTTAGAGAGTGATAAACCCATTCTAGCTTTTGTAAGGATTGCATTTCCCTCAATGCAATCTATGGAAGAATCTATTTGGAAAAAGTTGAAGAAGGCATGAGTAAGTAAATTCCATTTGCAATGCTGTATTTACATTTCCCCCCAAATTTTCAACAATCTCCTTTCAATTGATGGAAGAAAATAAAATGGACAATTTTCTTTTAGAATAATGTCTTGTTAAAAATAAAGAAAAAAGAGATGGATAAAATGGTCAGTTCTAATAATGGAAGGAGCTTACTTTTAAATTTTTAGCAAAATCTTTGCTGAAGTCCCAACTGTTCAATATCCTCCTAGCTCTGTAAGGTAGCAAATGTTCTGATCATTTAGGAAATATACTTAGCATTATTAAAAGTTTTAGAAAAAAAAAGTTTTAGAAAGATCTCAAAATACTGTTTGACTCTGCTATAAAATGGTAGATTAAATTCAATGCTATCAAACTCAAGGTAACACTAATCAAGAAAACAACCTTAATTGTGCATGCACATTTATCTTAGGTATGTCTTAGGAAGAGAGAGCCTTGGGAGGATTTCTTCAAGGCCCAGCTTCCAGGTTTATGCCCAAGAAATTGCTTAACTGGTCAGTACTACTGTGTTCAGAAGACCAAGATTACATTATAAATTCTGTGGGTTAGACCAGCAAGCACAATACTTAATCCAAATATCTCATGAGATTGATCTGCCTTTCAGAGCAATGAGTAAAGATAGTCCTCCAAAGTCAGATCTTAATAGTGCATACATCATATATATTATGTTGTAAATGTACTGTTTAGAAATAGCTATTTAGGCTCACATTTCCTGTACATCTCGTTTGGTTTTGCTTAGAATTAAAATCAAAGTAGAAAGTATTGCTAATGGGTTGTTTTTAATTCTTATAAGTGGTAAATTTTGGATTTAACTCAAATTGACAAGTGGCAACTTGACAAGGCTAGAACTTCAATTAAATAAGAAGCTTGTACAATGAAGTACTTATTCCCCAAAGGCAGAAATTTGCTTTGGATTTTAGGACTAATCCTTCTAAAGATAAGGAAGGCAAATACTTCTGGCTATATATGGTCAGAACTGACAGAGCACAGCAAGTGTTGTAGTTGGCAAAATCAAACTGCCTTTTATTTTGAAAGGAAAATTCACATCCCATGTAAGAAGCTCACATGTATTTCAAATATGGTTGTAACACATGTTGAGCATGAAAATAACCATGGCTGCAAATCAAAACTATGGACTATGCACCTTAGACTCTAATAAGCAAAAACCTACACATCCGTTTCTCTTCATCTGCCAAAACTCTGGTGTTTTTAGGGCATTGAGAATCTTAACATAAAACATAAAAATGGGAAATTTTAGAAAATACACATTTTCTTTGAAAATGCAGAATTTTCCCGTCATCTTGAAGTATGTATGGCTTTCAATGTTTTAAGTAACACTTGATAACACTGTGAAAAATAACACTTTTCAAACAAATGTGGGTTGGGCTTTTTTGTTTGTTTTTTGGGGAGGGGCTGTGCAGCTTCTGTCAAAATGAGTACATTGCACTGGTCACATTTTTCTTCTCTGTACTTTTTACCTAATGAAGAACTGAGTTATTGTGACTTTATGACTGTGTAGTGTTAAGGGTTTCATAGCAAAACCATTTCAGAGGTTATTCTTTGGTAGTGCTAAAGGTGAAAGCACTGCCAAACTTGTGAGCAAACCTTAAAAGGAAGCAAATGTCTGCTCCATTCTGTTGTGTCTGAAATTGCTGAATTGCTGTAGACTAAAAAATAGAAGATCTTCTGAACAACTGGGCAGATCAACTGCTCCAGTAACTCCTGCAATAAGCTTCTCTTTATATCCTCCATCTGAATTGATTACAGAAATCAGGCAAGTCATATTACTTGAAAGTGATTGAGGGGGGTTTAATAACAGGTAGCCCCCCAATCATTTGTATATCATGAATTTTCAAAATTTTCCCTATTTGGATTGCTCACAATAGTTTTATTCTGTACTCTGAGTGGCTTTGAAAATCAATATATGCAAAAAATATCTCGACTTTACCAAAGGTTACATCTAACTATTTCAGATGAAAAGTTAGTGACCAACAATTCACAAAATTGTAATAATTGAATATTATTTTTAAGTATATACTTTGTGCTTCACTGATTACATCTGTAAGACCTTTATATTTAATATAACGAAACAACATCATGGTTGCCATTGCTTATTTCTAAAGATGAATGCAGTAAATTTCTTATTTCTATAGATGAATGCAGTAACCTGCATTGGCTAAGGAGCTAATCATTATGGCACAAGCAGCAGTATGGAAACTGTACAGTGGATGCACAATCTAAAATTTACTTTCAGCAACTACTTCAATATTTGAATATGAGAATTATTTTCTTAATATTTGTATCCTTAAAACTCAAGCTTTCAACTCTCCAGAGAGAACAGACTAAAGGAAGTTACAAGCTTAATCTATTTCATTGTTTTTGTAATGAGACTAGTTATTTACAGACAATATTTTGTACTATTCACTCATTTCTACAAGTTAAAAAATACTATTCAGGTGCTTTACATTTCTTCCAATAACATAGAATCATTGAATCATAGAATGCTTAAGGTTGGAAGGGACCTCTAGAGGTCATCTAGTCCAACACCCCTCTTTGGTACGTAATCTTTTGGGTCTATTTATATGCTGTTGATAGGTAATTCACTAGTGATTTAGAAGAATTGGTAATTTCAGTTCATTTCTTTTCTTGTTTTAATTCACAGGATGCTCTGGCCCTCTAGGAATAGAAGGAGGAATTGTGTCAAACCAACAAATCACTGCGTCATCCACTCATCGAGCTCTTTTCGGACTCCAGAAATGGTATCCATACTATGCTCGACTTAATAAGAAGGGTCTTGTAAATGCTTGGACTGCTGCAGAAAATGACAGATGGCCATGGATTCAGGTAACAGATGGAGCTGGGGAGGAAAAAAAATCTCCTTGATTCAGTTGTCACTTAAAAAACTGATGAAGACAAGTGGCAAACCAAAGCTAGATTTTTGTCCACTTCTATGTGTGGCCTGACTAAAGTGGCCTGTTTGGTTGCAAAACAGTAATAATTTCCACTTTACAGATACATAGATGTCTCTGAGAAATGTATATATATGTTCCATTGTAACTCTAGGAATCTCTCTGTTGCAGAAACTGACTTAGAGTCTTTTCAAGGAAGCTTTTTTCACAGGTGCTACATTGCTCATTAGGTCCTTAGTAGCATTTAGCAGCAGTATATTTTGTTGGTTGTGCTTTGACACGCTCCTGCAGCCTTCTTTGAGGCAAACTTAAGTCCGCTTTGATATGTTTTTTGGTTTTTTTCTGTTTCCATATCATGGCCTATGGAAAGATTTTGTCTTTTCTGCTTAGCAGCTCAGGGCACAGATGCACTCTAAGCAGTGTGTGCATCACTCTGGAAGTAACAGTAACTGTTTTATTTAAGGCTGAAGTAGTTGTTATTTCAACCAAAATTTGTGAGGCAAAAAAATACTTTTTTTTTTATTCCTGCTCAAAGGCTTTTATCTCCAGATTCAAATGGTAGTGTCCCCTTTGTGTACTGGATTTCTTCAAGCCTAGCAAATGTCTTCAGAAAAAGTCATGAAACAATGGACTATGAAGTCCTGTGGGTGTACTTTAATGAAGATAATTATCAGCTAGTAATTTCTACAGCTCTTTTGCCTCAGGCTGTCTTCTTTCTATGATGTGTGGATTGGACTAAGGTGTTAGTTAACGCAGGATAACACATTCATGGGAAAAATTGCCTACTAATCAATATAGTCAATATGTGTGCTAATCAATATGGCCAATATGTGAAAAGGATGCTTCCCCCACGTGAACTCAGCACAGCAATAGCAAAAGCCAGTACCGAGGGGCCACTGCTCCTTCAGGCTATGGCAATGGCCTGATCTCCTTCTCTCATAAGCCCATCTCTGGCCACAGAAGATGGCCTTACTTGAAGGGGAGCTGCCACACACAGCAGCAATTCTGCACATCCTACTTCTAGTGCAGCTCCAGCTGCACTACTGGGCCCAGTAACTACCCTGTTTCCTTTGCTCACTTAGACAAAATTGGTGTCTAGTCTACTGGCACTAAGTTGAACTACAAGGCCTTTATGCTCACTAGTTGCATCAGACACACTCTTCTTGCTGTTGTCCTTGTGTAAATAGCATAATTTCTATTCACATTTCAGTCGTCTTACTGACTATCAGATGTGATTTTTCTGAACAGTTCCCAAATGCAGTGGAAAAATGTGTACAGGATTGCCTGTTCATTTTTCTTCTTTAGAAATCAGGCACAAAGCACTACTTGATAAAGTTTTCTAAGGCTACTGTGGTGAGAATATTGGCTTTTGTCAGTTTTGAAAAATGTAGCCTATGTTACTGTTTGTTATTCACTGCAGAGTGAACACACAAAGACTCTTCAATGTATCTTAAGTCAATTTTCTTCTGTGAAGATCAGGAAGGTTAGGAAGTTTATAAAATGCATACATTGAAAAAGACCCGAAATGAAAATGTTAAGGGACTTGAGCAGAATTATTTTCTCTGGAACAGAAGGCTAATTTAACTTTAAAGGATAATAAAAAGCATTAGTGTTATGGCAGCTTTTTGGGATGTTTTAGAACATGGGTTTTATTAAATAATTCAGAGGAAAAAAACAGAAGTGTTCACCATTGACCCCCAAGACATATCTTCATTGGAAGATGAACTGGAGGTGGTCTGTTACGGGTTAATTACTTCCTTGCAAAGGCACATCTCAGTCACCAAAGTAGCTATCAGATGGCTGTGCATACTTTTACCCACACCACAGTTATACTTGCCTTGGACTTTGCTCCACTATTTCTTAAACATTTGTGGAACATTGCAACAAATCAGCGTATTCTGATTCTGTGTTAGGTTTCTGACTAGCTTCCATTTGGTCTGGTGAAAGAAATGTTCCTTCTAACATTCTGCCTTTAATTTTACTTTCTTTATCTCTTAACGACCTTCTTCCGGAATAGAGATGCTTACTCTGCAGTAAGCAGTTGGCTTTTTTGTGGAAATAAAGGCTGTTGACAAGGTACAGGGTAGTCTGAGGGTTATACAGTTAGGTGACTTCGATCACTTCTAATAGGAAGAGTTTTCATATGGGGCCTCTCTATGCTGGTTTGATGAAGCAACTGGACCAGAAGATAGCTTCTGAAAAATCTGTAAATGTTTGACAGAGATTAAGTGGAAAGTTGCAAAACCAGAACCTCCATTTTATGAACTGTGAATTAACATTTAGTGCAGTGAACCCAAAAGAGTAGCCTGTTATTCCACTGTAGTTTCTAATGCTAGATAAATTCTAAAGAAAGCTGTTCTATTAAGAGGCAAAGTTCCCTGAAGTATAATTATGTACATGCCTGTAGCTATTTTTGCCTTGTTCCATCATTATCAATTTTCTTTGTCATTTAATTTCTTTATTTATATGCAGCTTAGCAAATGAAAGGTTTGAGTGCATTCCTTATAACTCACTTGTAATGAGTGCAGGTTTTTTCTCTAATCTTTCAGGTGTCTGACACACATGAACTAATTAGTATGCAATTTCATTTTCCTGCATTCTCCCAATGAACTGAAAATTGAAATTGCCATTTTAAATTTATTCTCACAGCATGTAATTAGTAATGGCACTACAATGCTTGTAATTGGCTTGTGATTTAAAGGGTCAGTGACCATGTTTTTGAAAGCAAATTAAACTCAGACTAAGTCGTGTCTCCCTTTTAAAGTTCTGCTGACCTGTATTTCTCCTCTTAAGTTTGCACTGTGTTAAAATACCTATGTCTACTGTTTATTACTTTACTAGTGACACTAACTGTTTTTTCCCATTGTATTTGAAAACATTAAAAACATACTTCTGTAATTTTATGAATTGCTATTGAGATATGCCAAAATGGTCACTGTGTCTGCACCAGTGATACCATTTTCTGTCAGAGCTCTCTTTTAAGAGGGCACTAATTCCCTTTATCCTTTTAACTTTTGTTTGCATAATTTTAAAACTTTTTTTAACCTGTTATTCCTGTCTCTTTCTATTTCATGTCTATTCCTTCTTTGTCCCAAAGCACATAGTTTTCATAGTTCATGTTTTCTGAAGGAAGTGTGGATCAGAATAGGCATGGCCGTGGGTAGGCTTGTTGTTCTCTGTGCACTGTATGCAAAGCCTTTTAGATATTTCAAGGGAATGGATCCAGTCCTAAATTATGGTTCTGACTTTCTCCTATACTGATATTCAATCATTTTTCTCTCCCTTTCCTGTCACTTCTTCTCTAAGTCATTCTTCTTTCCATTTACTAGTGCTCCTCTCTGCAGTCCTCTACCTTTCATAGGTAATAGAATAATGGAGTTATAATATTTTAAGAATAACCATTTATTTCCACAAACTAGCTAACAGGAGCTTCTAAATCACAGAACCACAGAATAGTTAAGGTTGGAAGGGACCTCTAGAGATCATCTAGTCCAACCCTCCTGCTTGTCCTGTCACTGCCACCGAGAAGAGTTTGGCCCCATCCTTAGTATATTCTCTTTACACTCTCCTTAGAAGCTCAATGTCCTTCTTGCACTGGGAAGCCCAGAACTGCACACAATACCCCAAGTGCAGCCTCACCAGAGCTGAGTAGAGGGGGAGGATCACCTCCCTCAACTTGCTGGCAACGCTCCTCCTGATGCAGGCCAGGATCCCATTGGCCTTCTTGGCCACAAGGGCACATTACTGACTCGTGGTTAACTTGTCGTCAACTCCCAAATCGCTCTCTGCAGAGCTGCTTTCCAACAGGTCAATCCCTAATCTGTCCTGGTGCCTGGGGTTATTCCTCCCCAGGTGCAGGACCCTGCGCTTGTCCATATTGAACCTCATGAGGTTCCTCTCTGCCCAACTCTCCATCCTGAGTCCCTCAGGACATCCCTTGGGAGTGTCGGCCACTCCTCCCAGTTTAGTGTCATCTGCAAACTTGCTGAGGGGGCACCCTGTGCCCTCGTCCAAGTCATTGATGAACAAGCTGAAGAGTGCCAGGCCCAGTACTGATTCTTGCAGGGCACCACTGGCCACAGGCCTCCAACCAAACTTGGCTCCATTTATCACCACCCTCTGAGCTCTGCCATTCAGGCAGTCCTCAATCCACCTCACTGTCCACTCATCAAGTCCATACTTCCAGAGCTTTGCTATGAGGATGTTCTGGGAGACTGTGTTGAAAGCCTTGCTGAAGTCAAGGTATACAACGTCCATGGTTCTCCCATCATCCAGCCAGCCAGTCACCCCTATCAGGCTATCAGGTTCGTCAGACACAACATTCTCTTAGTGAATCCATGCTGACCACTCTTGATCACCTTCTTTTCCTTAGCATACCTAGAGATGGTCTCTAGGATGAGCTGCACCATCACTTTTCCAGGGACGAAGGTGAGGCTGACCGGCCTGTAGATTCATACCTGTGCTTTGCATTCTCAGCTCAATTTTTCTCTCGTCATGGCCAATTTTCCCCTATCTTCTGTAGAATATTTTTCTTTTTTATACCATTGCAGTTATTATTATTCCTGTTACCCACAAAGCCCTCAGCCATGGTAGAGATGCCAAACTGGAATGTCATAAAGAGTAATGTAAAACAAGACTGAATATAACTAAGGCTGCGTGGCAGCACTAAAGTGATCAGTCACATCTTAACTGATGTAGTAGTAACTTGGGCAGAATCTTTGGCATGTGAAGGAACCATAGGAGGGGTGGGAGAAGGCAAGCAGATGAATTTTGTTCCAGAAGAAGCAAGTCAGTATCTTCAGACTTCTGGCATGTGGATGGCCTTTTTGTTCTAAGTAACATATACTAGCCCAGTAGTTTCTCGGACCATAGAACAAGGTTCCTATAACTTAATTTGCCGGGGAACAGTAAGACATACACCATCTGTGCCTGAGA